ACTTTTCCTCAGCATGACTTCATTTATGACCTCATTTCCTTGCCTGGCCCCTCACTCCCAACTCACAGCCCTCCACCCCACAGCTGCGCCTCACTCCCAACCCACAGTCCCCTGGCTCTGCTGGTGTCCCTCACTCCCCATCTGCAGCCCCCAACTCTCCACAGTGGTGACGCGTAGGGGGTGCACGGGGGGTGCACGGGGGGTGATGCGTAGGGGGTGCAAGCATATGCACCCCCTGAGAGTGCTGGTGCACCCCCTGACAGGCCGCACTCCCCACTTAGGTGACGGGCAGTGGGGGCAGGCGGGAGTGCCAGTGCCTACCCTGCAAGCATCGGATGTAGCACCGTGGCCACTTCCGGGAGTGCCACAGCTGCTTCCTGGTCGGCGCAATCGGCTATGGGGGAGCCCCCCTCCTCCCCCAGTCGCTGACTGGTCACTGCGGGGGGGCACGTGGCCCCTCTAACTAAGGTGGCACCAGTCGCCCGTGCTGTGCCATGACAACATCGCTGATGTTGCGACCCCATTTGGGGTTACAACCCACAGTTTGGGAACCGCTCATCTAGAATGAGCCCTACATTGAAGTTCTCTGCTTTTTATTCCAATTTAGGCTCCTGCTGCACTTCTCTAGACTTTTTTACTTGTCTCTTCTGAATTTTGTCTGTTTAGTAGTGAATCTTTTACATAGAAAAAGACGTTTGGATAGTTTAACTTCAGCTGGTCCTTGACTTCTTTTGCTCTTCTAACAAACAGATGGATTGGTCACATGGAAGTTAAACTAGGCACCCTGTTTTTTTAACATATTTTCTTTCTTACGCCTTCTTCTAGCTCACTCTTTGGATTTAGTGTACACTAGTTTATATTGGCCTCTAAGTGAGTGGTAATTAGTTAGTGAGAGGAGACTTCAGTATAAGGGAATCAAAGTTGTCTTCAGAAGAATCCATCACTACCAATTTGTATCCCTCTAGCTATATTTCACACACACATCCAAACTGTGCCCTTTACCTTGCTTTCCTCTTCCATGTTCAGTTTTTCCATTTGTAATGCTTATCTGTTTAAAATAATTATAGTTAAGAACAAGCTTAAAACCTTCAGTAAAACAGTAGAAAATGTGGCCTGGTTAATTGCATCGTTTATATTATTCCTCTGAAAATATCAAAGTGCAGAAATAGATGCTGCATTGTCGTATGTGTTTCTTTCCATCTTTCATGTGTGACTGATGCCCAAGGTCCTATTTGGCCCCTGACTAGGAAAAACTTCTTGAGTTCAATGTGGTACCCATTCAGCAAAGCACTTGCACATGTGCTTCACTGTAAGCACGCAAGTAGCTTTACTGCTTTCAAGCACTTTCCACATGTTTAAGTAGTTAGTCGGGTCAGGATGTGAACATTACATGCAAGTATGGAGGAAATAGGAGAGCTAGATCCAGTCTTGCAGGAGTGTTACATTGTAGTGGTCCAGTTGTCTTCCCTGGGTTACGTGTGATCTACACTAATTAATAGGAAAGGAAAAACAGGTAAAAGCCCTGTAGAAATGGGCTCTAGAAGGAGCTTCATGTACCTGAGAAGAACCAGTAGTGTAACCTATTACAAACAGACTTGGACTTGATGATCTATTGAGGTCCCTTCCAACCCTAACATCTATGAATCTATGAAACAGGCCCAAAGGAAACCAGTATCTCTCTGTTCTTTCTTCCTTTTCCATCATTCCTATTAGAGAAGGATTGCCCAGTCCTCTCTTACCCTTCTTAATATGTTTTTCGTGAAGGAAACCTTTTATATGCATGGTTAAGTTCCCCCGTTTCCAACTGTATGTTGAGCATATGTAATTTTGATTTCCTCTTTAGGTATGCTGATATAATAAACCCCACTCATGTACTCCCCTTCTCTGGATATCTGCACGTTACTCTTATTGTTGTTTGTAGTAAGCCCGGGGGTGGGGTCAGCCTGCCTAGCCTGGGGCTGTTCTGACCCAGCTCAACCTGCTGCAAAGGAGCTGTCTGGGGCATGAGGGTGCTTCAGTGCAGGACTAGCTGGCTGGCAGCCCCTGCACTGATGCACCCTTGTACCCCAGTCAGCTAGGTCAACATCTACATGTGCATTGCTGCGCACAAAAAAAAATCTGCAGCAGGATAATACATGTATTTAAATTACACTTGCATTTGCTGTAGAGTGTATTAGTTTCCTGCAGCCTAGTAGGGCTGCATGTGTAGACACCAAGATGTTTACTGCAGAGCTAATGGGGCAACTTGGCAGTAAATATTTCATGCAGACATGCCCAAAGACTGAGTATATCACAGATGCATGCGTTTTTGTAAGCAGCAGCTTGCTTCATCAGAGATTGGAAGGAAGTTAGTCTTGAAGGAGTCATGGGAGTGCTGATTCGAGCTCCAGCTTTGGTTCATTTCCATCATGACCTTGGGCAATACAGAAGTCAGTTAGCTTCTCTGTGCCCGTTTCAATAGCTGTAATATGTAGAGGAAGATATTTATCTGCTTCAGAGAAGAGCACTGAAGCTAATTTAAGCTTTTTAGACTTCATGTTGATGGATAGCATTATAAAAGTGCATAGTATTATTATTAGAACACTTCCCCAAGACTCCTTGGTTTTTGCTATTAATCTAAAGATGTCTCCAGTGCTTTCTCAAAATGGGCAGGATTAGATTCTTCAACTTTGAATTCATGCCCAAGGTTGCTTCCAGATTCCACATCAATCTGCTATTGTTGCAGTGTCGTTTGGCCAACCACCAGGATAGGCCAACCATCTTTTTTGTTTTATTAATCATGTTTGAGCCTGTTTGCTTAATTAATAAGGCCAGCTTCTTTTTCCTTCACTATTTCTTCATTAAGATAACCTATAGAAACCTTAGGATCTCTCACCTCCAACCTGGCTCTGCGAGTAGATCAATCATTGCCTGTTTTACAAAAGAATATTTGGCTGAAATCCCTCCATTGTTGGAGCAGAATCCGTGATGGGCGCTATAAGACTACTGTAACCATGGATGAGAAAGGAAATGCACATGAAAGAGTGATTTGAACTTCACTGCGTATGTTATCTGGTCATTTATTTGAATCGACATCAGCGTGGATACTCCTTCCAGAAGGGTGGCCCTCTACAACTCCTGCCTGTATCATCAGCTTAATTTTTCAAGGTGTTTTTCAAATGTTATACTTCAACAGAGATGTAAGGACATTTAAAGTTACTAAGCAGTAAGTGGAGTTTCAGGGTTTGTTAGTCCTTCCACAGGTCTACTCCCACCTTTCCTAACATGATGGCTCTTCCTGCACGGTATGCAGGACAGGAATCCGACGCAGCTTCCTTAGGGACCAGGAAGGAAAGCTTCCCAGAGCAGTTCATGTTCCCTAATGGTGGGATCAGGACCAATAAATTCATGTGTACCTGGCCAGATTTGGCCATCCCTGAAAGAAAATAAAACTACTTTATGCAGCATCTAGAATTAGAAAGCTTCAAATGTGAAATCTCTCCCGCTTCTCTACTGTATCACTCCATGCTCTCGTAAAAAAGAAATCTAAGCCCCAGTCAGTTGCTGGGGTTTTTTTTTCTCTCTTGGCTTAATCATGGGGTGTGAAATTGAATTGAGAAGTCTCTGAATTATATTAACTCACCCCCTGGGCACTGCCACAGGAACAGTTTATTTCATCTTGAAGGAGCCTTTGGTTTCCAGATGAGTGGAGCTAAGCAGCAGGAATGTGCGTCATTTTGTGAGGTAAACAGGGATGTGAGCTGGTTAAAATCAGAAAAGGCGACGCAGCAGAATCTTGTGCCCCTGACATTTGTCGGCCTCTCCTGAAACGCGAATGCGGATTTCATTAAGCTCTTGGTCAGATAGCATCTCGGCCCCATTTGTTGTACGGCTGTGTTGGAAGCTGATCGCAAGTGTATGCTGGAGCTCTGCCAGCGTGAAGAGGCAGCATTGCCTCGTCCTCAGCACGCAGATTGTAGGGTTCCTCCCAAATCATCCCCGAGGGAGCTGGGCCTGGTAAGTGGCTTGGGGGTCTGCTGCTTCAGCTGCAGGATGAGGTCCCTGGTAGGGACTGGGACTGGGTGGTCAGGGACCGTCGCTTGACATGAGTGAAGTCTGGTGCTGTGTTGTCAGGGAGCTGCGGGTCTGCAGATACCAGGAGTCAGAACTGGAGTTGGGCCAACGCTGGAGTCGGCATATGCCAGGACTCAGAACGGGAATCGGGAGCTGAAGTCAGAGTCCAGATATGCTGGCATCCGGAGCCAGGTCAGACTTTCTGAGAGTCAGAGCCACAATTGGGAACCAAAAGCAGAGATTCGATAGGTGAAGAAACGAAGTGCATAAAGATCAGGAGCTTTGATCTGGCCTCATTGCAGTCATTTCTTCCAGCTCAGAACTTCTGACCTGCTTTTTCATCTCAAGCTTTTACAATATGTTGAATACCAAACACCTTTTGACATCTCCCCTGCCACCACACACCTGCATTACATGGCTTTGTTGCTCCCTAAGCCATTTATGTTATCAGTAGCCAATTGCCCATCAGGAATGATGGAAGGGGGGCGGGGGGGCAGCACCCTGTGCCACTGCCGCCTCCAGGGAGCAGGGTGGGGGGTGAGACCACAGCACTGGCCTCCCCCCCACTCAATGCCCTCCATCCCCGCCATCAGGGCAGCACACCGCCGCTGCCTTCTGTCTGAAACGCTCTTGGAGCACTCTGATTGGTTGTTTCTGTTAGCATTGTGACTGGCTGCCGAGACAACCAGTCAGAGTGCAAATAAAGCATTACGAACAGACAGACAGACCAAGGCCTTTATTATATCAGAATGAAAATAACCATTCTGCCTCATGTATGCACAGGCACACATATCAGATGAGATTTTTGCAGGAGCCTTTTTACTTCTGTGACCATACACTGATATTTAAACAGCAAAACTCATAATGTAATATGCAGAGCCATGTGTCAAAATGATGCTGGCATGTAACAACCAGAGACCAAGGATCATCTACCCTGCTGCAAGTTTGTACACAGAGAGCATGCGAGGGTACTTAGCAGCACTTCTGTCCCAGAAAATATGGATCCAAACTGACTTCTTGTATGGCTAGTGCATGTTTGCTTAGGGTTGGAGCTGTGAAAAGAGAAAAGTGCGGTCAGTGGACCATGAGTATGCATGGCTAGTGATCAAAGTCTTTCTTAAAGGAGAAGACTACAAGGTGAAGTAGCTGTTTAGCATTCAGCATCCACACATACAGGACAGTGGGAGGACTCCGTTCCATATTGTAATTCTGATTGTAAATGCCCTTAAAGAAGGATTTACACATTGGTCTACTCTGGTTTCACGTTAAGAGACTGTCACTTCACAATTTTGGGTTTTCATCCTAAGCGAATAGGGATTGGGGCATCCTATTGAATAACGCAACCTCAGGGTCAGGGTTGCCAACAAGGCTTCAGTAAAAAGTTTGCAGATTGTCAATAAAAAACAATGTATTAGGGTGGCAACCCTGCTTGACTGCACCAGTGGTTTTACACCATGCTGCCTCCACCCCAGGAGTTCCCTACTCACCCTCACACCCTGATACCACTTACTGCACTCTGCATCATGCTGCCCATCCCTCCTCCCCAGCTGGCCCTACTGTTCATGTCTTGACGTGGACCCCCACCCAATGCCTCACCCCACCTCCCAGCTCTGCAGCTCTGTCCCAGCTGTATCACCCCTTCTCCATCGTATCTGGGGCCATGTGGCCCTACCTACCTGTGAGGCCAGCAGTATGACAGTCAAGTGATGGGACACAGCAGTAGCAGCACATGGCTTGGGGGAAGTGGTCTATGGAGGCTTCTGTGGGCCATGAAGCCTGGAGCGAGAGGTCCCAGCAAAGTGCTAAGCCAGGGGCGGGCAATTATTTCATGTGGAGGGCCGCTTGATGAGTTTTGGCGAGCTGTCGAAGGCCAAATGGGTAGCCCTGCCCCTTCAGCCGCCCCACCCCCTGGTTGCCATCTTGGGACTGGAAGTCCCGCCCCCTGACCACTGCCACCGGAAGTCCCTCCCCTTGCACCCATCACTGGTGCCAGCATGACCTGGTCCTGACCCATCCCAGCCTCACCACCTCCCCGCCACCCCGCACAGCAGAAGTCAGCCCAGGCCCAGGTCCCCTCACCAGCACAGCACCCTTCAGTGCTGTAGGACCCCTCCTGTCCTGAGCCACAGGGGGCTCAGCCACACCTTTCCCTCCCAGTGGGGCCCGGCCAGCCCATCCCTCACCATCCCCTCCCCTATCAAGCAGTGGCTTCCCCAGGTGCTGCTGCACTTTCTCCCTACCTGTGCCAGCTGGTCCCAAAAGGAGGAGGCTCCACCGCCGCTTCTGCTGGCCAGTGCTGACCCAGCCGGGCTCGCCCCGTCCCCAGCAGCACGTGGGAAGCTGCCTTTCCTGGCTGGGGCATACCCCGCCCCGGTCCGC